GCTCTTCCATCTTCTCCTGGATGGCATGGAGTCGGTCCTGTGTGGCCTCCGGGGCTGCTCCCAGCCCAGAGCCCTGGAAGACAGGCACAGCTTTGCTCAGATGTGGCATGTGCCTCCTTTTCAGAGCCTCGGCCAGCAGTCAGACTTCACATCCTCCAGCCCTGGAGTGGGTGCAACTAGGAACCATCCCCCAAAGAGCAGGTCACCAAGAGGTCCTGTAACTGCAAGGGTAGGACAGAAATACAACCACTCAGCAAGCCTCAGCTCTTGAGAGAAGTGGAGAAACAGTCTCTTTCTCCTGACCTTTCTGTGCTGCTTTCCTTCCCCTGGCCTCACTGTCTGCTGGTGCCTGTGTCCCTCTGTCCCAGCAGTCCCTGCCTCTGCTGGCTATAGCCATTTTCTAAGGCCACCTACAGTAACTGCACAAACCCCCTTTGGCATTTCTTTTGCCACACCTATAGCATCCCTGCGCTCAAGTTTCCCAAGCTTTTGGTCTATGACTGGTGTCACTGTGGGAACCTTATTTGCTGAAAAGCGGACCCCAAGCTGCCGTTTGGGGGTAGGTTTATGCTGAGGACTAAACCCCTGACCAGCTTCACATGAGCCAGACCCCAGAAACCACCCAGCTACTGCAGCACAGACCTCATAGCTAACCTGGCCACAAGCGAGCATTCCTGTATAAATAAACCTCACTGCATGGGGCCAGGGCACTGCTAAGATTCACCAGACTCATGCTGCCAAAGCACAGAGGCATACCCCAGCTCCTGGAGGGGCATTTCTGTTCCCCCATCCACCTCTATCAGAATCCAGAGAATGCACTTTTATGGGCCGGTAGGTGGATTTTCTTTTCTCAAATTCAGTTTGAGAATTACTGTGGCAGATCCTTCTGCCTCAGGCATGAAAGCAGGCTTTCTCCCTGCACTGAGCACAATCTAACAAAGACTTTCCCATGGGTACCTCTCCCTTCCCGCCTGACTGCATGGGCCCACATCTGCACAGCTTCCATTCACCATTTCACAGCTTCCCTGGGGCACAAAAGGCTGTTTATATGGAAAAGCAATTCTGGGAAATCATTTGTAGTACTTTGTTTTCAAAAAAGCTGCAATTTAGCAGCTGAAAAACAACAGAAGCCTGCTCTCAGTACTTTGCTGAGAGCTCCATGGGCAATCTGAAGTCCTTTCTGTCTCAGCTGATTCCTCCTTGATGGAATCTTTCACTCAGGGCCTCCACATACAAAGCTGCACATTGCTACCTGACTTGGGGTTTCTCTCTAAATATTCTTCTTCTCTAACAAGCTGTAGAAGATGTGCCCTAATATCACTGTTTCTTTCTGTCAGAGTAGTGTTTTCCATGCTAATCTTTATTCCTAAACATCTCAAAACTGATTTCATACCAAATACAACAGCTGGTACTGTTGAGATTAATTTTCATTCTTAAATTAACACCACTCCTCTCTAACCTAAGCTTTAATGCAGGCCACACCAGGCCTGGGTTTGTAAACACCAAAGCAAGTAATGACTTCAGCTGAAGAGAGGCAAACCCATGATTACCACAGACAGCTTCCGCCTGCACACAGCTATTGCTCAGGAAGAGGAGGAGAGACAGAGGGAAACCAAGGGTCAGCCCAAGTCCTGTTTTGTACCTTCTGGTTTACCAAATTAAGAGCAGGACACTCCAGTACACCTGACACAGGACAAGCCTGAAAGCCCCTTGTCTCTGGAATGTGAAAGAAAAGGGTGAAGGTAGGGGAAGGGGAGAAACCTGCTTTGGCACTGCTCTGCTGCAAGCTGCACCCAAAGAGGAGCACGTCATTGCAATCACACGCTTAGACTAACAGCTCTGCACCGCTATTTTTACGTGGCTGTTTCAAGTCCCTTGAAGCATCCACAAGCCCCTGAGGAGAACGTACAAAACCCTCCCTACAGACACCTATCCCAAGGCAGCCATGGGATCCAGGGATGTGTCAGAATACAGAAAGGAGGAGGTTGAGGCACTTTGAAATGTTTCCTCCTTTTTCCCCTCCAGCCTTTAAATCCTTCTCACACAGACATAAACAGGTGAAATGATTTGCTTGAGACCACCAAGGCAGAGGCAGGAATGTAGTCAGGTCCTGCTGTGTTCCAAAGGCCCAACTCTTCTCTCCACCACAGCTTCTAGCACAGACCATTCCACCAAAGAAAACAGGCCAGAAGAAATGTGGGATGATGCTGGCGTAAAGGCAAGAGATACATGGAGCAGCCATTCTTTACTAGAGGGCTTACAAAGGACTTGAATTTTCTACCAGGGTGCCACAGGGTTAGAGGGCCTTGACCACGTTCACGTCAGAGCAGAGCATGCCTACCTTCCCTGTTGAAGCCCGGTTCTTCCAGAGCAGGATCTCCGAGTCGGACAGCCCGAGTTCCCGCAGAGAGGCAGTTTCTTTGTTGCTCTCCTGTAGGGCCTGGAACTGTGACAAGGTCAAAGCCCCTGCAGCCTCTTCCCCAAAAGGCTTGTAAAAAGCTGCAGGGGCAAAGCATCTCCGCTTTGACTTGCACCTGTAACCCAAAGCAACAGAACAGCAGGAACAACTTAGCACTGAGAAACTGGGGGAACAGAAAGGGGCTGGCCTCTCCCCCCAACTACGCTTGCTCCTGCTGCACCTAGGCAGAGATGACGTGTTTCCAAAACACAATTGAGCCACACTCTCCTGACCCTTTTCCAAGCCCACGAGATCCCGCAGGGCAGGATGCTGCCCCAACCCGGGCAGGAGGCACCTTGTGACACTGTAACACCCAGCTCCCCACAGATGCAAATGCAGGCCAGCCTGGTGGAGACGAGCTCGCCAGCCTAGAAACTCACCTCTGTGTCTGTCCCAGGCAAATTGGTTATTTTCACCTAACGGGTGAAAGTAAGTTACCACCCACGTTTGCTCCAGGAGGCAAGGAGTGCTTATCTCCTGCTGAGGTGTCTGGGGAGGAGACCCAGCAAAGGAGGGTTTGCACAGCTGTTTTGGCAGACAACAGCCTGCACCAAACATCTCCCCAGGGAGGAGGCCCCAGTGAGACAACACTGCTGCTGCCTCTAACATGGCCAGACTCCACTCAGTCGCCCCTCCGGCAGCCCCCCAGGGGCCAGATCAGGACTTACTGCTCGATGGAGACAGTGGTATCGAGCTGGTGGTGAAGGAGGCTCTTCAGCTGCCTCTCTCCTTCCGTCTCCAAGTCTTCCAGGAGGAGCTCATCGCTGGACAGGCTGCTGTTGACCCTGGGGCACACAAGCACAGCACGGAGGTAGTCAGTAAAGCAACAGGGAAAACGCTGCTCAAAACGCACTACCGCTACGGCCTCTCTACCTTCTTGACTGTTTTTATGGGATTTAAAGCACAACAAGGAACCAAAACTACTTGACCAAAGCTCCCACTAATGTTAACTAGAAAAGCCAACAGATTTGGGACTACTTTGAGAACGTTAAAACTATCCCAGAGAGTTTTGGGGTTTTTTTTTAAAAAAAAAACAACAAAACAACACAACACAAAAAACCACATGCAATCTTATTTTTGTTGCTGGAAAGTTGTTTTGTATCAGCATCTAAACAGACATTGCTAGTTCCAAATGACTCAAGAAAGAAAGAAAACTGCAAGGGAAGAGACAAACAGTGAATTTGATCAGCACTCTGTGGAAAGCTCCCTCTTCCCTTCCTGGGGTTACCCGCTTCCACGCAGACGGACGGACGGACGGACAGACAGACAGCGCCCTCACCCCGCGCGCCTGGCAGCGGGCCCCTCCTGACCCCTCCTCCGGAGACGGCGCCCCGACAGCCCGCGCTTCTGCCGGGCCGCCGGGCGCCGCGGAACCGGGCCGCGGGCCCCAGCTCCGCTCAGC